ATTATCTACGATAATGGTCTTTACACTTTTTTCCCTAAGAATTACCACTTCTGAGATATTGCGATTCAAAATGCAATGGCATGTATACGTCACAGATATACATACTCGGACATTTAATACAAGTAAAAATACCTACGTGTATATATGTATGTATGTATAAACAATACTATTATATATATTTTGAGAATATACACTCAAAAGATACTCAGCCAAACTCAGTGACTCCACAAAAAATATTAAAGCTGCAGAACAATGAAGTCGAACTACAAAAACATCTTCGTGTTCCGATATCATCTTTGATCAATTTGTCCAGCCACCGAACAACAATTTCTCGCTAACGTTCATAATAAATCTCATTTAATTTCATTGTTAAGTGATAAGCTGATCACTGAAAATATTTCAGTGAAAAAAGCTGACAATGACGCTGATGTCCTCATAGTTGAAACAGCAATAGAACAATTTAATGCAGCAAATACAATTATTATGGTTGGCGGTTGGCGAAGATGTTGGTTTGCTAATAAGACTTACTGCCCGCGGACTACAATAATTAATAAATATATATACAATATACTTTTTCAAACCTGGAAAAGTTCAACAAAACGAATTAAATTTATTGTTCAAAAATTTTAGCTGCATATCCTAAATCGCAAAAACATATTTTATTTTTACATGCGATAACTGGCTGTGACACTACATCAGCAATTTTCAGAAGAGGTAAAGCAGCAGTATAAAAATTATAAAAAAATATTTGTTTGCTATCGCTAAAGTATTTAAAGAAATTGATTCTTCTCCTCAATCGATAGTCACAGCAGGAATTCGCTTTCTTCTTGCTGTTTACGGAGCTCCCAAAAAAATGAATTGCAGAGAAAAGTACAGATATTTATCTTTTGTAAAAAATATACACACTTGTAAAAAACACTTGTATCGAGTCTACCGGCTAGGCAATCAATTGAACACAGAAGGCTGGGGTTGGAAATTAAATGATAATACGTTGGAACCAATTCAAACTTTACTGCTACCTGCTTCGGAAAAACTCCTTAATAGTATTTTTTGCAATTGCAAAAAAGACTGTAGTGCTAAATGTAGATGGCAGAAAAGTAGGATTACTTTGTTTACCAGCGTGTACTAATTGCCTAGGCCAGTCTTGCTCGAATGTTGATGTAAATACTGGTGATGAGGAATCATGTGACGCCACTGAAGAGATAGCTGACACACCTTCATTTGAAAAATTTGTGAACTTGTGTATAAAAAAATAAAAAAAAATAATATATAATTCTTAAATAATAAAATAATTCTGACGTAATGTGAATAAAATATAATGTGGATATTAAAAAAATAATTAGATTAATCAGAAGTGATAGGTTGTAGAATGTTATATTTATTAACAATAAATAAAAATAAAACAAAATCATACGCATACATATTAAAGTACTGTTATACGCACATCTATTTATTAAATACTTTTGCGTAGGAAGCAATAATAATAGTAACTAAAGAATTTAAAATCATAGTAGACACGCAAGTGGAATTAATATTACTGTCGTTGAAGATAACTGTTGCGGTAAGTACTTATTACATAATAACTTGAACTGGGGGATCAGTTAATATATGGTTATTGAACAATAATAAAGAAATAGTAGTTGCTTATTATATACGAGTTTAATAATATATGGCTATGGTGTACTTTTTGATTTTTTAAACATTTTGAACTTTAAATCGAAAGTGACATTTGCAGAGTAGAACATAATTAATAACTTTTCAGTATCGATATATTTTTAATTAAATTTGCGTTGTCCTTCTTTTCAAGAGGTATAATTTATCTTTTTTTGTAATAATCTGGTAATTTACTACAGGGTGATAGCAAAAACAAATAGCCGATTTTTCACAACAAATTGGTATAAATTAATGGTTTCAATTAGCTTAGAAGTTTGTTCCTCTAATTTCAATGTAAGTATTGAGAAGGTCAAAATTAGTGGAAGTCATAACTTTTCAATGAGTAGAGGAAATGAGGGTAATTCGGAATACTGTTGGTAATTAGTACTACTCACTTATTGAAGCTAGCGTGGAGCTATCTGGTAAATATGGTATAAACTACTAGTTTAGCTTGTATTTAGTGGATAAGAAATTTGGTAATTATTTAAATTTGTAGTACAGCGCAAAATTAATTGTGACGGAACAAAAACCTGTTTAGTGGAAATTAAATTGATGAATCATTGTCATGTTTTTTGATTTAAATTAACTTTGATTGGGTCTTCAGGTAAAGTATTGGTTTATATTTTAATTTGTTAAATAGATTTTTTCGATATGTGAAGGCATATTATATTTTTTACGGATTATGACATAGGTCTTCATGTTGAAAATTTGTATACTATAACTGATGCAAATTTGGAATGGTCCAAATTAATATTCATTTTGCTGCTTTTCGGTTCTAGGAATGTATGTAAATTTCTTTGGCACACACTTAGCCGTAACTGCCGTTTGAGGGATATAGGGTAACATGAGCAAACATCAAAAGACAAGAACAAATAGTGAATATAATTAATACAAGCTGAAAAATATTTCGACTACCTCAGAACTCGTTCGAGAATTTGATTTAAATAAAGAGTCAGAGGATCAGAAGACTGTAGCTTTATTCGGGTTCTATTATTACCAGATTCGGAACCGTCCTAAAACTCTGCAGCGCATGCGCAAATGAAAAAGTTGCTTCATATTTCCTTCTGCACGTGTGAATCACGGTTCTAGAACGGTACAGAATCGGTAATAAGAAAAAAACCGAAGTACAGTATTATGTGTTTTCTGCGAAGGAAGGATACAAGGGGAGAATAGCGGGTTCAGTGCTTCACATGCGAATCATGAGTGCACTCTGATTGTGCCGGATATGACGCCGGAACATATAGCGACTACTGTAAATAATATACCTAATTTCCTTTCTTAATAAATATTTGGATATATTTTAAAAATGTTTCAAATACCTTTTTAATATAAACAACATATTCTGCTGCTATTTCGGTGGTATTCAGATTTTCTGCATTTCTTTTAAATGAGTGAAAAACTCCATTTAAATTTCTTTATGATGTGAAACTTTCGTATGGCATAGTACATATTACATACAAGAGGACAGCTTTTAGAAATAATCAAAGATTCATTAGATGAAAGGTACTACCAAGTACGAGTAAACGGCGTTCTCTCAAGTAAAAACCTAGTAGCTAGTGGGGTTATTCAGGGTTCCGTGTTGGGCCCACTATTATTTATAGTCTACCTTTTTGATGTTGTCAATCTTATTGAAACCAATTTAAAAAACTTTGCTGACGACAAAAAACTCTATGCCAATCCGCAAAGCTTCAGGAAGATTTAAAGAGGGTTGAAACCTGGTCAAATACTTGGGGAATGAAACTGAACGAATCCAAATGTGCCGTTCTTAAAACAGGACCAAATAACCCAAATAAAGAATATATACTCAACAACACAATATTGTCTACAGTGTCAAAACAAAATGACCTTGGAGTGACTATTACGTCAGATTTAAAATGAGAAAACCACATTGTAAAAATTGCCAAGAAATGTAACTCCTTTGTGTATCCAATACAGCATACTTTTAAAGACCACTCTATAGAGATGATAGCAAAGCTTTACAAAAGCTATATTAGACCAAAGCTTGAATGCGCGTACACAGTTTGGAACCCCTACTATATTAAGGACATAGAGATATTGGAAAAGATACAGAGGCGCGTGACTAAAATCCCGTTGGAGCTACAAAATATGACCTACACAGAAAGCCTGGCTAAATTTAATATAACAACATTAAGAGAAAGAAGACACAGAGGGGATTTGATAGAAACATTTAAAATAACAAGCGAACATTATACATGTGATGTTGAAAATATATTTTCCCAAAACGATAACTCTCAATTACGTGGACACTCGAAGAAAACAAGCAAAGAAAAGACAGCCAAAGTACAGAGGAAAAATTTTCTAACAAATCGTGTTGCATATTCATGGAATGCTCTAACAGAAAACACATGAGTGACTGCCCCCAGTATAAACGCGTTCAAAAACCGACTAGAAAAAGAACTTGAAGAAAATGCAACAAGAATGATTCACTATAGTGCGTAAAAGTGAAAACTGAAAAGTAATAACTCTTAAACTCTTTGAAAACAGACAATAGCCTCATCGGTTTTACCGCCTGCTATTAGAACATTACATGATTACATATGAAGATCTAAGGCGCGCTATTTACTTTATTCAAAATAATCAACATTTAAATATTTTGCATTTCTTTTGAAACTACTATTCTAAAATACCCTCACTTCCTCCATAGTTAATTAACTTTTGCCATTAATTATACTTCAAAATTTGCGGATAATCTCATTTTGGCCATTGTTTCTCATCCGCCAAGAGAAATTGTGGTTAGAAATGAAATGTTTCATAAGCTAATTAATTTGACTACCACAAGGTGCGGCTAGAATATTCTATTAACTTTAATTTTATTTTTTAGGTATTGTAATAATAATAGCTCCCATACTCAGCCTTTACACGCCTTGGAATAGCAAGGTACAGCTTGCTATGCTAGGGCCATTCGGTATACAAGGAAGGTTTGGTTTGGTTTGGTTTGGAATCCCAAGTACTCATTTAAGGCTGAGTCGACCTAGGTACCCAAACTATTTTTATTTTATTAAAAATAGCCGGCTGTAGGATTCGAAGCCACAACCTTTAGATTGGTAGACGAGAGCTGCACCACTACGTCACCGGGTATCCTGGTATTGTAAATTATCCTAAACTCTTTAGTATAAAGTATAATTGAAACCACTAATTTGGAAGTTAGGAATGAAGCTTTATATTTGATAAAACTTCAAAAATAAAGACAATTTTGAATTAGAATAGAAAATAACGCACCCTGTATATCGGACGGTCTTAACATGCTATCACTTTACTTTATTCTACTCCCCTTTGACGTAAACGACACGGAAAAGAAATTTAGATAACACTGAAAACTTTCTTACCTGGCGAAGTCTTCACCGGAAACTTTTCCGGACTGGGCGAACCGGTGCACGTCTCCACCGGGTTGAAGATGTACGTCGTGAGGCAACTCTTGTCCCCCCCGCCGCCTCCGCCACTGCCACCATTGTCGGGGGCCACTTCAGCCCCCGCCAGTTTGCACTTGATCTCGAAACTCGAACTCGAACTTTGAACAAAAATCACTTTGGGCGCACTGTGTACGGTCTTGAGTGTTAATTACATCCTCGTGATCTCGAAATTTAATTCATTGTTGTGGTTAAGGTCTTCTATTTAACAGTGTGTAATTTAACAATCTATATTCTTGTAAAAGGGTAAAGGTTATTAAGGGTATTAAGGCATAGTGCAAAGCATTTATTTCTAAATTTATTGAATTAGAAAGAATATTTTTTATTTTTCTTCATTGTATTGCGTAACTTGCCACTCTACAGGGTGTTTCAAAACACATGTGCTATCTCTAGTGGGGAAATTTCTCATGTAAAAATAAGATTTATTTCTTATGTCAACATATGTCCGATTCTGCTTTTTTTCGTAGCTGCAAGGTGTTAAAGTCTTAATTTTTTTTCAATTTATTATAATTTTCTTCCAAGCGTCTGTAGTGATTCGAATGGCATTTTGAGAGTAAAAGTTATTATGCAACATACTTTAATACAACATAGGCATTAAACGGCCAATATAATTTTGCTAACAAGAGAGAAAAAAGTCAATGGCGCACACGTTTTTTTTAGAAAAATATGTCACACTTATAGTAACTTTTACCCTCAAAATTTCATTCAAATCGCCAAAAGCACTTGGAAAAAAATTATAATAAATTGAAAAAAAAACGAAGATTTTAACTCCGTATAATTACGAAACCAAACAGAATCCGACCTATGCTGATATAAAAAATAAATCTTATTTTTACGTACCCAGAGAAATCTCCCCACGAGAGATGGCACATCGTTTTTTACAACACCATGTATAAAAGAAAATCTAATATTGCTGGTTAGGTTAATTAAATTAATAACAAGATAAATCATCGATTGTCTTATTATAATTATAATATTATTAAAGTCTCTATTTTATAGTCTTAACTAAGCGATTATAATTCCCGAGATCTTAGAATTTAATTTATTGTTGTGGTTCAGATCCTCTAATTAGTGAATAGCAGTGTGTAATTTAATAATTGCTATTGTTGATAGAAACCCTTTAAAGTTCAATCAAAACAGTGGTCTGCTTCGGAAAAATAGTTCCAAAGAAAACGAGACATTTTTGTCGACTAGAAAAGTGATGGCGATGTTTTTTTGGATTGTCGGGTAAAGTCACCTTAATCTATAATTTTCGGAAAAGGTAACTATTACAAGGCAACTGACCCACCTTCTCCATACTCGCCAGATTTAGCTCCCAGTATTTTTTTTTGATACAACAAATAATGTAACAAAAATGTATCATTGTAATTTCACGATTACCCTCATATTACGAGTAGATTGAATTGGAACAAAAAGTAATTTTCTTTTATACACTATAGGTTTCTGTTATTATACTATTGGTAATTTAACCATTATTAATATATGACATGGTCCAGTAAATCCTAACGTGGTCCTCGTATCCCCTAAATGTTAACAAATCTTAGATACATATGTATACACTGACCGAGTGTAACAAATTAGACAAAAGTCCTCCTACTCGTGCCTGCTCACTAAGGGATAGAAACAGAGGCGAATGATCTAGCTAGAATGAGAAAGGAGCGAAGACTCCCACTAACTGGACCAGAACCGTTCTGTTTTCCAAGCGGGAACCAACTGAAAGTGGAACTGAAGGACCTGGAAGAACTCCATCCGTAACCTGGAATGGGTGTCCTCCAACGGCCTAAAATACTCGAAAAAGTTCCTCAGAACTTACGACCGAGAAAAATGAAAGATTTTCCTGGATTTAAGTAAAAACAATCTTCGGATTGTCACGGGGTTTCTAACAGGACACTGTCTCCTCAACGAACACCTCAGTAGACTGAAGCTGAGAAACAACGGCGAATGCAGTTTTTGTGGGGAAAATGGGAAAACACCAGAATACTTTATCACTGAGTGCGCCGAGACGACGACCGTTCGTGCCATGAACTTTGGTACGGCTAATGTCGAGGATGGAGAGCTGGCTTCTGTAGAGCCGTCTCAGATACTGTTTTTTGTTAAAGCTCTGAGACTGTATGATGAGTTATAACTCGTTAAACTCAAGAAAAGGGAACACACAATAGCTCTGTAGGGTCGCAGTGATTAACTCTTCTCCTAAACATTCTACATTTTACATACACTGACCGACACGAAAAACGTTACATTTTTTTATGTATTGTATGTATTGTTAAGTACAATATATTTTGTTCTACTGGGCCGATTTTGATAATTTTTTAAGCAACGCGCAGCTATATTATTTGAACTTTTTAGCTACTTTTAAATTAAAAATTTAGTTCCCATTTGGTTATTTTACGATGGCAAACCAAATCAATCATCTCAATAGCTGTTTCTGTTGCTGATATTCGCTTTTGAAGCAGACAGCAACAATTAATAATAATCTTAGAACATAATAATCTTAATCAACACACCTATGAAATTGTGATTATTGCTTTTGTAATGTCACTGTCGCTGAAAAGTCATATTATTATTTTTTTGTTTAGTACTTACTCTATCAGATATAATATAGTTCTAAAGTTTGATTTTCATGCATCCGTTGTCCGACGATACGTTGATACGATATTAATTTTATTGGTTGAATTTAAAGACTTCTGTTGGGTAGAAACGGTTAACCAATAAGCCGTTAAATACAACCAATGAAATTAATATCGTATCAACGTATCGTCGGACAACGGATGCATGAAAATCAAGCTTAAATCCTGAACTTGTATCGACTATTGCTGCTTTAATTGAACAAGGTAAAGATCATCTTCTGGAAATGGGTGTTAAAATCATCTATACAACTAACAAATAATAATATTATGTGTCTTTTGAATTACAGTGACATTACACAAACAATAACAATTATTTAGGCGTTTTGATTTATTTATACGGAGAATGACATTTCGACACATTAAAAGTGATATAACAAACAAACGAAATTAAAAACATCAAAATATGGTCTGTTGATGATGACCAAAACATTTATGCTTTAATGCTATAATTGCTGTAAATCATTACTGCCTTCCTCAAAAGCGAATATCTTAAATAAAAACAAAGCTATAGAGATGAATAACAAAATAAACTACAAAATAAAATAAAAGCAAAATAAAAACACTAAATCACCACAATACACCAAAACACTTTTACTTTTACACTGGACGCGCGTTTCGCTAACCATGTTAGCATCATCAGCAGATGATTATAAACTAAAGTACAATCTACAAGTTGAGCGTTTATATACTCGCTCAGTGGGCCCCGAGTGGGCGTGGCAAAATCTAGCCAACCGAGTCAGAGCCAACTGAGCGTAACAGTTAGATTTCCGCCACTAGATAGTAGGAACAAAGAACTTGAAGGAATTGGACCGTTGTCTCTGTTCATACTATCTTTACATTTATTAATTCTGATGCTTTCATAAGCATCTAATTGCCTGTAATTTGAGACTTGTTTAATTAATTTTAAATTATTAAGATCTATACAATGTTCTTCATCGACAATATGTTTGGCAACGCAAGATTTATCCGGTTTACCATATCTTATCTAAGCTAAATGTTCTTTAAATCTAGTTAATATTGATCTTCTAGTTTGCCCAACATATTTCTGATTACAATCTTTACAAGAAATTTCATAAATACCCGACCTTTCCAGTGGAGGTGTTTTATCTTTTGGATTACCTAATAATTGTTGTAATTTATTATTAGCACTATACACAAGTTTATAATTGACATTCTTAAAAATTCCTTTTAGACCACGGGATAACTCTCTATCAAACGGTAAGGAGACCAAAATTTCACCTTCATGCAATGTTATATCTTTAATTTTGTTAATGAATTCAATACTATTTTTAACTGAGAAAGAAGGTTCATGATCAGGTAAATTTTCGAACTCCCTTGATAACCATTTTGCCAAATTATAAGTCGGAGAACCTACAGCCGAAACAATTGGGCGCATAGACTTGTCCGGCTTATGAATTTTTGGCAAAGCATACAATTTTGGTAATGAGGGATTGGATACTTGCAATTTCCTCTTTAAAGAAAGATCAATAAGGGTGTTACATTCTTTTAGAGTTTTTTTAACGTCTGCTACCATCTTAGACAAGGGATTCTTTTTCAAATTTATGTAGGGGCCATTATCGATTAAGTTGTTAACCTTATCATAATAGTCTTTTTTATCTAATATAACAACCTTATTTCCCTTATCAGCTTTTAGATAGAAACAATCTTTGTTACGCAAACTCTTGACAATATTGTGCTCTTTGTTAGATTTTAATGAATTACTTGAAACAATATTTTTTGATAACTGATTTCTACAAGCCTCTCTTGTAAATATTTTAGAAGCCTCGGGCAAGTGCTGAATAGCAGTTTCAACACCAACGACGATTTCTTCCAAAGCGCTACCAGAGTTGGGCAATGCATACTTTAAACCTTTGTTTAATAAACTGAGCTCTTGTTTATCAAAAGTCTGCGAAGAAAGATTTTCTACTATGTTTTTTTTTGTACTATGTTTTTATCCCGTGGTCTAAAAGGAATTTTTAAGAATGTCAATTATAAACTTGTGTATAGTGCTAATAATAAATTACAACAATTATTAGGTAATCCAAAAGATAAAACACCTCCACTGGAAAGGTCGGGTATTTATGAAATTTCTTGTAAAGATTGTAATCAGAAATATGTTGGGCAAACTAGAAGATCAATATTAACTAGATTTAAAGAACATTTAGCTTAGATAAGATATGGTAGACCGGATAAATCTTGCGTTGCCGAACATATTGTTGATAAAGAACATTGTATAGATCTTAATAATTTAAAATTAATTAAACAAGTCTCAAATTACAGGCAATTAGATGCATATGAAAGCATCAGAATTAATAAATGTAAAGATAGTATGAACAGAGTCAACGGTCCAATTCCTTCAAGTTCTTTGTTCCTACTACTCTAGTGGCGGAAATCTAACTGTTACGCTCAGTTGGCTCTGACTCCGTTGGCTAGATTTTGCCACGCCCACTCGGGGCCCACTGAGCGAGTATCTTAGATTAAGAATAAAAATAGATAGAGCAAGTCATTCATAAATTCACAA